GTGTGGTTCACTCTGAGGAAAGGGCACAATGTCCCAGTCACATTCCTCTTGGTGATTTCATTTTTAAGAACCCCCTTCAAGGAACCTGCATTATGCATTTCACCAGATGTACCAGTTAGTGAGGCTGAATCAGCCAGCCCTAGGGAGCATTTGGCTTTTTCTTTTACCAAAGAACTTTCTAGTAGGAGGAATCTTAGCATTTTTGATGGTGAATCAAGAACCTTTTCTTATTGGTTCGTATTGCCTTAAATTTTTTTTTTAATGTTTATTTTTGAGAGAGAGAGGCAGAGCATGAGCAGGGGAGGGGCAGAGACAGGAGATACAGAATCTGAAGCAGGCTTGAGGCTCTGACCTGTCAGCACAGAGCCCAATGTGGGGCTTGAACTCACAAATTGTGAGATGGTGACTTGAGCCGAAGTCGGACGCTTGACCGACTGAGCCACCCATGATCCCTGGTTGGTATTGCCTTTAAAGCAATGACAAAAAACTTGAAAAGAAAAAAAAAAGGCAAATAATATTCATTTAAATAAAAACATGGATATAGGGGCGCCTGGGTGGCTTAGTCGGTTAAGCGTCCGACTTTCGCTTAGGTCATGATCTCGCGGTTCGTGGGTTCGAGCCCCGCGTCGGGCTCTGTGCTGACTGCCGGCTCAGAGCCTGGAGCCTGTTTCAGTCTGTGACTCCCTCTCTCTCTGACCCTCCCCTGCTCACGCTGTCTCTCTCTCTCTCCTAGAAATAAATAAAAAACATTTAAAAAAAAAACATGGATATAAATGAGAAAATGAAAATTTAGCACTGTGAATCTTTAAACTTCTAGACTCTTAAATTTTTACTTATTTATATGAGAGATCGGCAAAACCAGAGTCATAATTATAGTTTTAACCTACTCCAAATCAGTATATTGTCAGCATTTCTCAGCGAACGTATATCTACTTCCACAACATGATTTTAGTGGCTACTTTTCCATCATATGAATGAATGTGCTGGAATTGGATTAATTCTCTGTCTTTGGTATGTTAGATTTTCACTTTTTGACATTATCAGCTTTCATGTAGCTGAATCATCCAGCACAATCTTTATTATCTCCTTAGGTTACAGTCTTAAAAATGGACTGGGGGAACGATACAGATTTTGAGAATTTATGGACGTACTGCCAGTGTGGTACAGGAGACGTGGTGGTCACTGACTGCTTCAGTGTGATGGTGTTGATATTCCTCTAATGTGTTAGTGAACAAGTATTTCTGTGTCATCCTGTGCTGCTGGCTGGCCGGCCTTTGGCCTCCATTCCTTCACTTGTGATGTGGGGGTGTCAGCTCAGGCACCCTCTAAAAGTCTGAGTGAGAAAAACCTAAAAAATATTATGAGTTCCTGTAGAGTCCTTTTCTATTGTATTTTTATTTTTACAAGTTTCAGAAATAGGCCATTGATCTATATCATTAAATAAGCAACAAATAGTGACTTCGTTTTGGTTTAACAATCTGCTTTTATTTTATTTTTATTTTTTAAAATTAAAAAAAATTTTTTTTAACTTTTTCATTTATTTCTGAGAGAGAGAGATAGCGTGAGCAGGGAGGGTCAGAGACAGAGGGAGACACAGAATCTGAAATAGGCTTCAGGCTCTGAGCTGGCAGTCAGCACAGAGCCGGACGCAGGTCTCGAACCCAGGAACTGTGAGATCATGACCTGAGCCGAAGTCAGACGCTTAACTGACTGAGCCCCCCAGGTGCCCCTAACAATCTGCTTTTAGAGAGCTGTGTACAGAAGATGAAGGCAGAGAAAAATACCATGACATTGAACAGAATGAGAACTCAAAGAATGTTCTTTTTGTAAGGACTGAAATGTTTTCTGCACTGTTGAATGATCTCTTGATAATTACTCGAACCACATCCCTAGACTTGAGGTCAGTTCTACAGTAAACTTTATTTGGCAGTGATGGTCTGAGGCTCCAAGATTTCATGCTGAGCATTTTAGAGTTTCTGGAATGCTTTAGTCCTGTCAACATTGGATCCTAGACACTGTTCCAATCTAGGAGCTATCACTTTTATATTTAAACTGAATCTCAAAAAACCTAAAACACAAACCACCCCCAAGCTACACAGGAATCGCTCTCATCTGGTCTGGTGTTGGGAATGAGATCTGAGGGGCGTCATCCCCAGTCAGGCGGCTGAACTGTGGGCCCCTGTCCTGGCGCCCCCGTGAGGACTGCCGGAAGACCCGAGGGCACCGTGGCATCTGGGCCTCACCCATTTCATCCAACGTGTTGGGTTGTAAACGCCCGGCACACACACGGGGTCCGTGTTGAGGCTGGAGTGGTTAGGTCCCGTACAGGAGCGAGTTTATCTGTTTCACGGACCCGTGTAGCTGCGTCTGTTCTTATCTAGTAAAATGGGCACACTGCCTTGAGCGGCGCTGCCATGTTCACAGGCGTGTTTGCAGGCATGTTCCCAGGCATGTTCCCAGGCCTGCCAGAGCCCTGAGATGTGTGCGTGTCTTCCCGATTCTTTTCTGTGGTCGTAGGTACCTTCCCAGGATGCAGAGGGAGTGTTTGTGCCGTGTACTGATTACATTCCTAAAGAGCTTATTTTCAGTGAGACTGTGCTGGGCCCCGCGGCGAGCATTCAGCACCACCTCCTTAATTCTTTGGGAGGCACCATTAGGAGTCTGGACTCCTATGATTGGCATCATAGGCAGGCTGCCCTGCAGAGCGGCTCTTGGGATCCCTGTTCTAACAGAGGAGAGAGAGGCCTTTCCTTGAGGCAGAGAATGGGGCCCAGGAGGGCGTTGGGTTCCCCAGTGGGGATGTGGGGGTCTGTCACCATAAAAGAGAGCTGTGAAAGTTGATTCTGGGCACCCACCCATTCGAGGAGAAGCAGGTGTTCTTACGGAACATGGTTTGTATGGGCCACAGTTGGTCCTGCCGTGGTGATAAACCGATGGGTCTCCTGGCCAGCTTCCCCCGTTGCTTCCAGCTCCGCGTTGCTGTGACGGACCCCTCCTCCCTAAGTGCGTGCTCACTGGGCACCTGCTGTGGGCCACATGCTGCTCTCGCCCACGGGGTGTAGCAGCGAGCAAAGTGGACCAAGACCCAGGTCCTCCCTCATTGTTTCAGGTGCACTGTATCTATGAAGTGCAACAGGATTTAGGAACACAGCAGATACGTTCCTAGAGGTTATTTTATAGAATGAATCATGTCCCCACTTATTTCATTATATTCTCAGAAACATTCTAGAAAAATAAAATTCTTCACCTGAAGATTAGCCGGAAGGAAAGGGACACATTGATGACATCAAGTTAAAGTTAACAGGACTGATGTTCATCAGAGCCTGAACTAAAGTCCTGCGTGTATCTTTCTGTAGAAGTTCATTGAGAATTGTGCTCAAAACCACTGATTAATGTGAACAATATGAGCATGTCAGTTGCCCGCAAAAAGGGGTGACAGGAAAGGTTTAAAGCCAGCATTCAGATAAGCTGAATTTGTTCTAAAGAGAGTGAATCGGTTTAAAACAACTGGGTGGCTCAGTTGGTTGAGCGTCCGACTTTGGCTCAGATCATGATCTCACAGTTTCTGGGGTCGAGCCCCACATCGGGCTTTGTGCTGACAGCTCAGAGCTTGGAGCCTGTTTCGGATTCTGTGCCGCCCTCTCTCTCTGCCCCTCCCCCATTTATGCTGTGTTTCTCTCTGTCTCAATAATAATAAATATTAAAAAATTTAAAAAACCCCAATAAGGTGTAAGTCATATCTCAATAAAATGATTATTTAAAAAAAAAAGTAAGGTGTGTGTGGTAAGCTAATGATGGCCCCCAACAGATGCAAGTTCTACTTCCTGGAACCTGTGAATGCCACCTCATATGACAAAAGGGGTCTTGCTGATGTGTTTAAAGGGTCTTAGGGTGCGTGGGTGGCTCAGTCGGTTAAGCGTCTGACTCTTGGTTTTCAGCTTGGGTAATGATCTCGCAGTTTGTGAGTTTGAGCTCCATACTGACAGTGCACAGCCTGGTTTGGATGCTCTCTCTCAAAATAAATAAACTTAAAAAGACATATAAACTAAAGGTCTTGAGATGGGGTTTTCCTGATGGGCCCTACGTGTGATTGCAAGGGCCCTTCTGACAGGGAGGCAGCAGGGGTGTGCGTGCAGGAGAGGAGGTGGCGATGTGGTGACTGAAGCAGAGACCGGAGTGTCCCGCCAGCAGCCGAGGAAGGCCGGCCGCCGGGAGACTGGGGAACTGGGGAGCGCCCAGAAGGAGTCCGCACTGCCGCCCCTCGATTTTAGCCTGTAAGGCTCACTTCAGACGCTGACCTCGGGAACCGTAGGAGAAGACGTTTCTGTTGTTTTAAGCTACAAAGCTTGTGGTAATTTGTTCCAGGAGCAGCAGGAAGCAGGTTCCCAAGGAAGAGAAACAACCAGTCTCAGCAGAGAGACCTCCCTTCCGGGCCCTGCGCAGCTGTGGGGGGCCTGGAAGTGGGAAGGAACCACTGTCATCGTACACGTAGACACGCTGGAGAAGGCACGCGATAGTGTTTACCCAGGTAGCTTAATACCACCGTGTTGTAATCATGCTGCTTGTACAGTTTTTCTTCTTCCAAGTATCCCTTTAAATATTTCCACACGCACGCTCACAGCAGCGCTGGTCACAGCAGCCCAGAGGCGGAGGGGCTCCTGTGTCCACCGGCAGATGGATAAAATGCGGTCTGTCCATGCAGTCGGCTAGTACTGAACCTTAAAGGGAAGGACATTCCGACAGGCGCTTGGACGAGGATGCCCTTGAGGACGTTGTGTTCGGAGAGACAGGCCTGTCACGGGAGGGCAGACGGTGCGGGTGCCCCTGGAGACAGATGCCTGGGGACGGAAGGAGCCGGCGGTCCCTGGGGGCGGGGGAGGGGTGGGGCGATGGGAAGGCTGTGCGGGCGGGCGGCGGTCGTGGTCCCGGGTGGCGGGGACTCCTGCCCCCGAACTGTGCTCCTACAGAGGTCGAGTGGTGAACTTTCAATCAGGCGCGTGTTACCACGATAAAAAAAACTTCGGAAGGTATACGGTCATAGCCGTTCCGAAAGTACAGCAGCAGTAGGCATCAAAAACGTTCCGAAAGTGAGGCCGTTGACAGAACAACCCTGGTTCTGAGTCCGATGGGAAGGCCGCAGGCTCTCCGCGCCGGCTTCGCCTCTTCGAGGCGCCTTCCCCGTTAGAGCCTGCGTGCGCCTCGCTCTCACGCGCCGGATCTGCCTCCGCCGACTGTTCCTCGGCCTCCGCTTCGCCCTCGGGTCGTCTTCTCTCTGGCCCGGGCGCTCCCCCCTCACCAGGGACCGAGGGCCCAGGACCACGGCCTCCCACCCCTTCCTATGCCCCCCCCCCCCGGCTCGCTGTCCAGGCGTGCTCTGTGCACGTAGCCCCCGACTTCGTGCCTCCAGTCCGCCCGCTCCTCAACTCCGGGCTCACGCTTGGGTGTCACATAGGCCTCTCAGACACCCGTGGCTCAAGGTTTGAGTGCCACCTGCAGTTCCCCGTCCCCGTTACCAGCAGCCCCAACCTCTGGGGACGTGGGCCGTCCCGCTTCCTCTCACACGTGGTCCGTCAGGCAACCCTGTTGGCCCCGCACTGGAACACGTGCAGGGCGCATCCCACCATCTCTCAGGCCCCCTGTGTCCACTCCCTGCTATGAACCACCGTGTCTCTGCCCTGGGGGGGGGCACACTCCCCATGCTCGCGCTGCCACCAGCCCACCAGGCAGCTAAACACTCTTAAGCCTAATTGTGTAATGGCTGCGCTCGGGGCTTTCACTTCCTACTGCCGACCCCCTGGCCTGTGCTGCTCCAGCCACCCGGCCTCCTCAGGGGTCCCTGCATGCCACAGGCACACCTCTTTTTTCCTGCCCTTTGCCCCGGCTGTGTCCTCTCTGCCTGGGACACTGTCCCACATCTCTTCTGTCCAGGGTCTCTCCTGGCCGCCTTCTGCCTGGAGCTCAGGGTTTCCTCCACACTCAGGTAGGTGGTTGGCAGAATTCCGTTCCTTGCGGTTGTGGGGCCGAGATCCCTCTTTCCTTGCTGGTTGTTGGCAGGCGAAGTCCTAGTGGCTCCCCTCACGCCCAGCCACCTGCGCCTGGCCCTCTCACACCCCACGACAGCCCACTTCTTTGCAGCCCCCTGTCTTCCACAGCTAAAGCGTGTGCAGAGAGATTAGCTCAGCACATTGGCGTGCACAGCTCCCCCATCGTACCCACATGCCCTCCCAGGGCCCTGCCCCTGGGGCGTCCCGTCATCGCTGGATTGCCGGTCCTGGAGCGGCGGCATCACCGGGAGGGGGAGCTGCTTGCTGCCGGCTTGCTCGTCAGCGAGCCCACTGTGCAGACCACGTGACGCTTTGAGTCAGCTTGTAAGTGACCACTTGTTAACTATCAAGGACCTCAGATAATTGACGAAAGCCTCTAACGCAAAAGGGAGAGATCATAACTGAAATCAAAAAAGAAAGAAAAATAGAAGGCTGTGGAAGGGAAGGCTCTCAATGCAGAGAGCAGAAGAAAACTTGGAAAATAAAACCTGATTCACATTGTCAGGTTAAAGAAGACATCACATTAAGAGAACCAGAACACGTCCTCAGCAATCAAAAATGAAATAAAAGCATGCAGTTGAATGGTTGGAAGGTCAAGTCAAGAATATTTCCCAGAGGGGCGCCTGGGTGGCTCCATTGGTTAACCGTCTGACTTTGGCTCAGGTCATGATTTTGAGATTCATGAGTTTGAGCTCTGCGTCCAGCTCTGTGCTGACAGCTCAGAGCCTGGAGCCCACTTCAGATTCTGTGTCTCCCTCGCTCTCTGCCCCTCCCCACTCAAGTGTGCGCACGCTCTCTCTCATTCTCAAAAATAAACGTTAAAAAAAAGAATATATCCCAGAAAGTTATTTTTTCCCCTCAAGTTTTTTGTTTAAGTAATCTTTGCACCCACTGTGGGGCTCAATCTCATGACCCTGAGATCAAGAGTCAAATGCTCTTCCAGCTGAGCCAGCCAAGGCCCCCACCCTGGAAAGTTCTTGAAAAGATAGAGAATGAGAGAGAAAAGATAAGGAAAGTACATGATTAATGAGGCACAGCACCTGACTGATGTGCCAGGGAGGAAGAGAGAGAAGGTATCAGAGGCTCCTTCAGGAAGACTTCCGGAGCCCAAGGACTGTGTCTCTGTTTGAAAGGGCTCTTCCTGTGGTCAGGACAGTGAGGACGTGCCGCCAGCAAACAGGTGATTCCTGCCAATAAAGAGGTTCTCCACGGCTGCCAGAGATGAATCCAGACCCCACACAGTGTCAGGACGGGGTGGTGAAGGGCACTGGGACGCCTGCAGAAGGGAGAGGAAGTGGGGCAGTGGCCTCTCGTGCCCCACGGACCTGGTTTCTCCCCTACAGCCGTGTATGTAGGCCCCTGTCTGGCGGAGGGAGGAGCGCAGGGCGTTCCAGGCAAGGCGGCGCCCGGGGCCGTGCTGCACACCCCTGCTCGGGAAGGTACCGCCGTGTCTCCAAGAGGAGGGGCTGCCAAGAAAGGGTACACGGGAGGCTCCTGGGCATTGTGGGAACCACCTTGGGTTAGGTCCTGGGGTGATGGTTTGAAGGGGCCGTGCAATCCTGTGGAGGGTTAGAGCGATATGTATGCAGAAAATAAGGGCAACATAAAGCAAGAAAATCGCCAAGTATAGAAGAAGTGTAAAGAAAGGTGCTCCTGTAGTTTAAATGTGGTTCAGCCAAAAAGGTTTATGTAGCCGATGATGTAAACACTGCAGAGACCTAGGCCAGCTCGGAAGCGGGAACACACAGTTCTCATAGTTTTCCCATAGGAGGTCAAAGCACAGTTTGTAAATTCGAGAAGCCAAGCAATAGCACCAGGAGCATATCGATTAGATATAGAGGCAACGATCCCTCCCAAACCACCCTCAGCGGGGGAGCAGGTTGAGGGGCTTCGGGGAGCAGGGTGGGTGTGGGCGAGTGTGTTCCAGGCCTCACTGTGCTGTGACAGTTTGTGCTGAGTGCCTATATTTGATACCTTTCTCTCGGGGTCTAGGTTGGGCCACGAGGTGAGGGATGTCTGGCTTCTCTGTCGAGTGCAGCGAAATGACGTCACTTGGAGGCTGGAGCAGTGTTCTGGGATCCGAACTTGAGTAGCTGTCCACGGGAGAGCCATGGAGGGACTTTTTCACAGCCTCTTGGAGGGGCTGTGCCCGGGAGTGCCCTAGCAAGAGCTACTTCCCCCCATTTCTCTGGTCCCTCCGGCTCTCCTGACACCAGACACCAGAGCTGAAATGCAGACATGCCTCGCCCTGCCCTCTGATTAATGTGGTTACATCCATGCTGAATGTATGTGTTCTTTGGTTACTTTTATGAAGTCTGTTATTTCCTTAGCATGTTTGCATAAAACTTGAATATATGCACTTGACTGTTTTTGGAGTATTCTCGTGTACATTTTAAGATTTTATTGTCTTGGGGCGCCTGGGTGGCTTAGTCGGTTAAGCGTCCGACTTTCGCTTAGGTCATGATCTCGCGGTTCGTGGGTTCGAGCCCCGCGTCGGGCTCTGTGCTGACTGCCAGCTCGGAGCCTGGAGCCTGTTTCAGTCTGTGACTCCCTCTCTCTCTGACCCTCCCCTGCTCACGCTGTCTCTCTCTCTCTCTCCTAGAAATAAATAAAACATTAAAAAAAAAAATTAAAAAAAAAAGATTTTATTGTCTTTAGAATAACATGGAGACAGCTCTGAATACTCTAGAAACCACTGAGTTGTGCTCTGTAACTGTGAGAATTGTATGGTATGGGAACTGTATCTCCATAAAACTATTAGCAGACGCGCCTGGGTGGCTCAGTCGGCTCAGCTTGGGTCATGGTCTCGCAGTTGGTGGGTTCAAGCCCCACGTCAGAGTCTGTGCTGACAGCTCAAGAGCCCAGAGCCTGCTTCGGATTCTGTGTCTCCCTCTCTCTCTTTCTGTCCTCTGCTCATGCTCGATCTCGGTCTCTCAGAAATAAATAAACATAAAAAAAAAATTAAAACTCTTCCATGATTACTCACTTAAACAAAACAAAACAAAACTATTAACAGGAAGAACACAGAGCAGAACTGGCGCACGCTGAGCGTGGGTGGGAGTCCGCCCTGGACCTGGGCCCCCCGCCGGCCGCGCCGCCTCGCCTACCCTTGCACACCAGGGAGAGCTTCGGAGCGGCTCTTGAACTTTCTGGGAGAGTTGCAACCTGCCAAAACCTCAGTGATGACAGATGTGAGGAGAAAGCAGCTTCTGGTGCTGGAGACAGCCCACACCCCTGACCCGGAGCGCGTCAGGAGGGGTGAGCCGGTCGTGGTCCGTTACAGCTGGGCGCCAGCCAGCTCCTGTTGGGGGGGGGGCGGGGGGGGTGCATGGTTGCTAACCTTTCAGCACCTGTTTCTCAAAGACACAGAGGGATTCCTGAATGTGGTACGTGACTCTTGGGGGACCTGTAGAATGACCTTTAGCATGTGAGACCAACACTGTGCCTTATGCTAGAATTTTCTAGGCCTTCCCCATGAAGCCAGGGACGGTTAATGTGTCCATCATCACAGGTGATCTGGGAAGCTGTTCTTGTACTTCAAGCAGGAAAACAGCACCAGGGCTCCTGGCTGGTTCAGTGGGTGGAGGATGGGAAGGTTGAGCCTCCCACTGTGTGTGGAGGGTACTGCAAAGTAAAACCTTTTTTTTGTTTGTTTAAATATTTTTATTTATTTCTAGGAGAGAGAGAGAGAGAGTGTAAGCAGGGGAGGGTCAGAGAGAGAGGGAGACACAGACTCTGAAATAGGCCCCACGCTCTGAGCTGTCAGCACAGAGCCCGACACGGGGCTCAATCCCACGAACCGCGAGATCATGACCTAAGCGAAAGTCGGATGCTTAACCGACTAAGCCACCCAGGCGCCCCAACTGCAAAGTAAAATCTTAAACAAATTAATAAATAAAATCTTTTAAAAAGTAAAGAAAGAAAAAAACTGAGCTCCAAAAGAGCACATTCAGTGTTGAAAAACTTATAGTATTCACATTGTCTTAATTTCAAATTTAAGTTTAGAACTAAACATACGTAGCCTCTTAAATTGCCCCAAATTAGGGGCGCCCGGGTGGCTTAGTTGGTTAAGCGTCCGACTTTCGCTTAGGTCATGATCTCGCGGTTCCTGGGTTCGAGCCCCGCGTCGGGCTCTGTGCTGACTGCCAGCTCGGAGCCTGGAGCCTGTTTCAGTCTGTGACTCCCTCTCTCTCTGACCCTCCCCTGCTCACGCTGTCTCTCTCTCTCTCTCTCTCCTAGAAATAAATAAAACATTAAAAAAAAATAAATTGCCCCAAATTAGACATTCGATTTACTTAAATGACTTCACTTTTCCCCAGCAGGATCCAGTAGCTCAAGAATGATTTAGGTGTTAGGGAGACAGTACATCTGTATCTTGGGTTCACACACCTGGCCATTTTTTTTTTTTTAAGTGTTTCTACTCACCTGGAGAAATCTGTGAACAGGGTCTTCAAGTGTAAATTGCCAAACACAATCCCTGAGGAAGTTATTTGACACAGTAGTTGGTGCAAAGCAGACCTACTGGGGGTGAAAAGTCCTCTCTTCAGCGCTCTGCCTACAAGATCCCAGAGCCTTGGTGTGACGCTGCCCTGTAGGCTTGGGGAGGCAGCACGGGAAGCTTGCCCGTGTTCCGTGTGTCCTCTGGACAGGCACACGTACAGAATCATCACCCTTTTTTTTTAATTTCTAAAAATGTTTTTATTTATTTCAGAGAGAGAGCGAGCGAGCATGAACAGGGGAGGGTCAGAGAGAGAGGGAGACACAGACTCTGAAACAGGCTCCAGGCTCCGAGCTGGCAGTCAGCACAGAGCCCGACGCGGGGCTCAAACCCACGAACCACGAGATCATGACCTGAGCCGAAGTTGGAGGCTTAACCAAGTGAGCCCCCCCGGCGCCCCTAGAGTCCTCACCCTTGTTCCGTGTGTCCTCGAGCCAGTTACAGGTACAAAGTCACTGCTGCTTAGGAGGAAGCTGGAATCATCTGTTATTTGTGTCTAGCTTTCAAAGGCCCTGAGAACAAAGTTGTGACACTTCTTTATTTTTCTGATCTGAGAACTCAAACCAGTGCCCACTCTGGTTTGCACACAGTTTTTTTCAGCTTTTATTATATATTCTGTGTCACTATAATAATTTATCAAGCATCTTTGTTTCTGAGATCCCTTCAGTTATCTCCATGAAAATGAACCAACCAGCAAAATCCCCCTACTCAAGTGCGTATCTGTACTCTTTATGATTACTAATATCAAGAGTTTTAGCTTCTTTAGAGTTTAACCTAGAGTAAATGGTTCATTGATTCCTGATGCTTGTGGTATTTGAAACTCACTTTCAGGGGAATGTCACAGAAAGAATTTTCACTAGTAGTTTAGCTGTGTGTTATATACCTGCATCTGTTAGTAGAAGGCGTTTTTGGTGACGGAGGGGGAGTGGTGTTACTGTGTATGGGGACTGTTTAGGTTTAGAAACACGCACACTTCTGCCTGCTTGTGCCTCTCTGTGCATCTGTCCACAGCTCTTCTTCTGGATGGGTCTGTGTTAAAAATTGTTTTTATGTTTGTTTTTGAGAGAGAAAGAAAGAGTGTGAGCAGGGGAGGGACAGAGAGAGAGGGAGACACAGAATCCGAAGTAGGCCCCAGGCTCTGAGCCATCAGCACAGAGCCTGATGTGGGGCTTGGACTCACGGACTGTGAGAGAATGACCTGAGCCGAAGTCAGGCACTTAACTAACTGAGCCACCCAGGTGCCCCCTGATGGATCTGTCTTACTGCATCCCCCTGATGGATCTGTCTTACTGCATCACATGAATTCTTTTTTCTTTTTATTTGGCGGGGATGGGGGTGGGGGTTGAGGGAGAGGGAGAGAGAAACAGTCTCCATGCACAGTGCGGAGCTCGACCTGGTGCTTGAACTCCCAAACCGTGAGATCATAACCTCAGCTGAAACCAAGAATCAGACACTTAACTGACTGGGCCACCAAGGTGCCCCTCACATGAATTCTTAACCCACCTCTTGTACTTAGATTTTGTAAGAGTCATTGTATCTGACATAATTACTGTGTGATCGGTCAGATTCCTATAAGAAATATTGTTCAATAACGAAACCAACGTACTGCCAAACCAAAAGTTTGGATTATACTCCCACTGTCTCCCTTTTTTTTTTTTTTTTATTTCTGAGAGAGAGAGACACACACACACAGCACGAGCAGGGGAGGGTCAGAGAAAGAGGGAGACACAGAATCCGAAACAGGCTCCAGGCTCTGAGCTCTCAGCACAGAGCCCGACGCAGGGCTCGAACCCACAAACCATGAGATCAGAACCTGAGCCGAAGTCGGACGCTTAACCAACTGAGCCACCCAGGCGCCCCCCACTGTCTCCCTTTGGAGAGAATTTTGACATGGAAAATTCACAACTATTTTTTCCTTTTATTTTGTTTAATGCTTAAGAGATGTGGATCCTATGACCCGTACCTGTCCTCTCGGCTCCCTCAGGTGTGGGGAGAAACTTCTGGTGAGGAATGCCGGGGGTGCTCGGGAGCCCAGGGTTGGGAGTGAACCTGAGGGTTGGCCGATGGCCTTGGTGGGCTCTCAGAGTGGGAGGGATTCTCGGAGAAGTGGCAAGTGGGAATGTCCCGTTTACGGCTCTTTCCTGCTGCCTGCCTCAATTTAATAACGGTTCTTCTGATCCCACATCAGAAGTTGTTTCCCTCCTTGGATGGAGTTTTTACTCTGCAGAAAAGCTGATTATTAATAAATTGCACGAGGGGAGTGGAGACTGCAAAGTAACAATAGATCTGGGATTATGATAATCAAAAAGATTTAGATTTAGATAGCTGAGGCTTTCCTCGAACAATTTAAGTTAGTTAAAATGTCCTCTCAATTAAAACTTGTTTTGTTGTGCAAGAAAGAACTTATCTGACATGAAAATTTCCATCATTTTAATAATCTAATAGAAGAGGGCGTATGAATGGCAGGTTTGTACTTCCACACCCAGGTTTTGCTGTTTTGTGCCTCTCCCTCCTGTTTTTTTTTGCTTTATCAAGGTATGTAGTTCTGCACTTAAAAAATATCTTACTATTATGGAAATTTGCAAGCATATACAAAAACAAAGACAATCCTAAAATAAACCTGTGTGTGCCCGTTGCTCTGCAAACCTGTCAGCTCCCGGAAGTGATGTCCCTACCCCCCAGTGTTTTCAAGGAAATCCTAGACCTCATATCATTTTACTCATATAAATACTCGGTATATACTTCTAAAAAATAAGGATTCTTTTTTAAAAAAAAAATCA